ATGTTTCTGAAGGTACAATTTAAAAAAAAAAAAAAAAAGAAAAGATTGTTAAATGTGCTAAAGGTAAAATACAGCAAACTGTATTTTTTGTCCTTAAACTATCATAAAAAGTTACTCCAGAGTTTACTTAAATCACCATTTAGTTTTCTTTTAAAAAGATAAAATAAAGAAAAAGAAGTTGTCATTTGATAATCTAGAAACTATATGCAAGGACAGTTGATTACAGAGTAATACATAAATCCTCTGGCCAGCAAATATGTGGTTAGTAAAGAAACCACATCTCCTAAAGCAGAAAATGCTCTGTAAGGAATAGTGAGAATAAAATATCACTAAAATCAAAATTAATCTTGCAGTGAGTGAATGTCATCCCCCTGCAAATGATGAGTATAAGCACTGTGGCCACAACTCCCTCAAGATAAGAGACTGTAAGTGTTACACTGATCTCACAGTTGCTTTCACCCCTTATCGAGGAGTAAATTACCACAACTTATATTTATATTAACCTACAGTTTTAGAAATCTCCCCAAGTTTTTACAATAATTCTCATTGATATTTCTATTTCTGTATAGTACACACACATAAAGAGAACGTATTGCATAATCAAGTTGCCAGTCCAAATGCTTTTTATAAAAAAGGTTCATTTTCAAGTACTGGTTAGTGTTTGCTGGATGTTGGAAATGACAACATTTTCCTATGAGTACATGTTCATGCAGTGTCACAGCCTTCATGAATAAAGCCTTCTAGGAGAAAATTTGCAATTGCATTTTGAAGATTTTATTACCAAGTATGTTAGCTATCATACAAGTTACCATCTTTGAACTCATGAAGAAGCATTCCCATTAGAAACTCTACCTTTATCTACTTGGTATATGTTTCTTTTTCAGTTTATACCTAGAAGAGCATGACTGAAACCCAGTGGCACTGATTTTCTGTCTTTGACAGTGCCTCAGGCCATATAAAGCAATGTTGCAAACCAAAGAGCCAGATTAAAATTATTTTTTTTATATATTTAGATCCTTGGGGCTCCAAAAGTAGTAGAAAAAAAAATCAGATAAATACATCCAAGTCAGTTTTGTTAGTGCACAGGATGCTTTTGTTGGATTAAAAACTGGAGGGTGTTGACTATCTATGGATAATATGGTAATTCAAAAAAACCCACAAAAATACTTGCAACACTTCTGAGGATAATCTTATTATTCTCTTCTAAAAGCATATTCAGGCATGTTCTCTCCACCCTTCTTAAAGAATAGACAAACAAACCTAAAAAACCCCCAACAATATAAACCAGCTCCATTTTGCTGAGCCAAGAAAGCTCATAAAGCTGAAGAGCACTTCTCATGGGATATAAAATGTGAGTTGTATTTGGAAAATAAACTCTAGGTTATATTTGGTGTTCCTAGCACATCTACCAACAACAGATGTTCTGTCCTGAAAGTGATATAATTTTGGCAGCTGTACAGCAACTCCTCAAACAAATTACTGGGTTATTGTCAAAGTGGTAGAGATAATTAAATTTTTTTTAATTTTAAAGAGTGATTTCACTCTTTAACCAACTAATTGTGACTTTACATTCATTTTCTTCCAATTGTGAGTTCAGTGCTAAAGCTGATTTGCACTTGGGGTTTAGTCTTTTCTGTAAAGTTCCTATATTGTTGCTGTCACTAAAGTCACTGTTCTTACTGTTGGACTTTATTTTTAGATGACAATATGGAATGAAATCCTGCCCCCCTTGCAGTCAATAAATTTCCATTTGACTTCAGTTGGACAGGAATCTTATTCCTGGAATCACTCCCATGCTGTCCCCTGCCTATAGAAAGGTGAGAGGGATGGGGAGCAGAAACATTGCTAGGTGGCAAAACCTCTTCATTGGATGTCCTGTGGTCTCTGTGAACTTAATCCCTTAAACATCAAATCTATGCAACAGGTTTTGTAGGTAGGATTGTGAAGTCAAAGAAGAGGAAGTGAGGACTGGACATACCTATTGATCTCATTCCTGGGGAAGCCTGTCACAAGCTACCTTCATTTACTTGCTTGGGATCTCCTTGTGATTCTGCTTTAGTGGGGAACCCAGTAGGTTTCTGATGCAAAGGAATTAAACCATCAGAGAGCAGCATATGCCAGAGAGGAGGGATGAGCACACTGAGAGAGACTTGATCTGACTGGAAAAATCAAGCTGTGGATTTTGACAGATAGTTCTGCATCATCTATAATATGAAATTCATCACTGAGAATTTGGATGAGGAATTGTTTTTATCATGTTTTATATAGAGACAGCCTACTGCCATATTTTTTCAGATATGAATCACACTTCATTGCTAGTGAAAATCACTTGTCTTTCATTTAATATTTTTGTGAATAAAGTTGTCAAAATCTAGTCTCATTCTCCAGAAACAGCCTGGAGAATTTTCTCTGAAACAGTATCAGGGACATTTCTGCATGCCAAATATTGGTGTTTTCAGAGCAGGGACTGGGACAGGGCTGAAGAGACTGTACAGTTTATGTCTCCAAATTTGCTTCATGAAAGAAGGATAGGTCAATATATGAGCAGCCTTTATGTCACATCTTAACCATGCCTAAATCAGTCAATCTGTTTAAACTTGTTTCTGCTGCCTACTCACTTGACCCTTTTTTGATGGAAGTATCAGCAGTAAAACTACTGGCTTGAGTTCTGAACTATCCTCTGCAACTCTAGATAAGTTAATGAAGCTGCAGAAGGAACCAGATAAAAGAAATCTAATTTCCCCACAGGCCTTAGTGCATGGCATCCTGGGGTCTTCATACAACTCTAACAGAAGTCAAGCAACTGAAGAGAGGGAATAAAACTTTCTTCCAAATTTCCCCTGTAATTCTCATGTCTGTAGAATCATATGCACTCGAAGAGTTACATTGTTGTGGGGCCAGTATCATCTAATTTCCTGAAAAATAGGGGGTTTATATCAAAATTGGTCATAAGTAGATACAAGCTTGCAACATGCACTTTTTCAAAATCTAATATTTGGATACCTCAAGACAAATTCAATGTCTGATTTTAAGCTATTTAAATATTGCAGAGCTTAGCCTATTATATTCATTTATGGAACTCCTTGTAGCAGCTCTGAACCCAAAAATTGTAAATAAATTTTCATTTTCATTCACATACAGAGCACAGGAGTTGCGAGTTGCAAATTTCCCCAGGTCATTTTTTTATCAGCAGGTCTAACAGTGATTAAAGGAGAATTAGGATAATACAGCAGATAACTTGATTGAAAAGGTGATTGAAGTGGCCAATTTGAGAAGACTTTAAATTCAACTACTAGAAGGTATATAAAGATGGCCCTTATCTGTGGATGCAAGTACTGTCCTACAGTAGAAGCTGGGAAAAGCCTGGAAGGTTGTTATTGCTCTCTGTGATGGGGCAAGTAAAACAAGGCAATGGGACAAATAAAGGCATGTAAAGTGCCTTGCACTTCACAGAGGTGGGAGGTAGGTGGCTCAGTGTACTGTACTCTGCTTTTTTCTATATGATACCAACACAGACCAGTCCAAAGTGGACAAGTCTGTTTTCTATTTTGTGTTCCAGCTCTACACATATTTGTAATATATGAGATTGGATTGCTAGGTCTTTTTTGTCAGTAATGTGTTATCATCTCTAAATTGGATGCAACTCTTCACAGAAACTCTGTGTTGACTTATTATTTACAGTGAAATCCCAGCTTCTGCCACACAGAAAACCAACATCGCACTGCTACTCTTTTCAGCCATGCAAAGGATTCTTATTAGCTCTCTGCAGACAGGTAATTATTTTCTTATACCTCTGCAGTTCCTCTGTTGCATCAGACTAAACATACTAGAAAAAGTGGACAGTACTTTGAATGAGAACCCGAATTACTAGCTGAAAAATGTCAGATATGAATTTTGAAAGAATTTCATGTGAAGTTCTGCACTGGTATTTTCCTACCGAAACTCCACCATTCTAGTGGGACATTCTAGTGGGCAGTACAACCCTCGTGTTCCTGGCCAAAGAGCTTGTATAGTAACAGCCATGACCAAACCCAAGAAAATTAGTACAAGTAGAAAGATACTCCACTCATACTAGTCCACTAGATATAGTTTGATCCGGAGAGTCTACAGACTGATCTAGTTTGAAATTTTGTTAACTTGGTACAGGTGTGCAGCTAGAAACAGGTCTTCAGTTGGAAGCACAGCAGCAAACAAGCACTGTTTTAAAATTTGATATCTTGGGTTTCTAAGTTTAAGTAACAGATTTTTCCAAATCAAAATTTTCCTTCATTATACCTTAACAGACAGTTAAATTGCTCTCCTAGGATACAGGACAAAATTCTTTTTAGACTGAAGGAGAGAATACATTTTTACTACTACAGTCCAGTAACACAGTTCTTTTTTTTTTTTAACTGATAAGTGTTTTGTGAAAGAAACAAAGAAAGAAGGAAACACTTGCCAATAATTTTCTCTTTGTGATTATAGTAGCAACTAAGAAATACTGGTTTTCATGAATATAAGCCAGTCTTAAAAAGGACAGTGGTCTTCTCCATGTTGTTGTGTTTTCACTAAATGTATGCTGAAATAGCCTAAAACATGCTCAAAGTTATAGCAATACATTTTTCTGTTTAGATGCTTATCAGCCACAAGAAGAGATGAAGATGAGTGAGAGTATTGCCTTTTTCATAATCCCTCTAGCATATGAAAAAAGACCTATAGACAATTAATTTGTACACTGCTGGATAAACATAATCTTTTTCTGCTAGGTATAATGCACTTTTGGAACAAGCTGCACGTGACCAAAAATCCTGGGGATTTTGGGATCCATTTTGGCTGTGTTACACATAGATCTGTGAGCAGCTCCAAGCTGCATGCTCTTCTTGTGATCCCTCAAAAGAGGAATCTATATCCATAATGCATTTTCTTAGCTGGTTTGTTACAAGTTCAGCACGCCTGCCACAGGCCTTTCAGAAAGGTCCCTTGTATTTTTCATACCAAACTTGCACATTTAAAATGTTGTGTTTCTCTTGTCTTACATCACTCATACAAACGGTGTCATCACTGCGGAAGAGTGACGCAGTCCTTGGATAGCTGCATAAGGACCCTGCTGAAAATAATGGTGGTACCTAGGCATGTGGAAGGATGGGAAAGTGGGACCACTACCTTGCATGGAGCTGGCTATAGCAGAGGGTGTAAGAGGCATTCCCAGGCGGCTGTACGGAGGCAGAGATCCTTGGATCGGATGAGGAATGGGTGTAGCTATGGATGCAGTGCTGGTACCCAGGGCACTCAAAGACTGTGGATGCTGAAATCCTGGAAAAGTGGTTGAAGAGGAAACCCAGGAGCTGAGGGACAGGTTATCAGATGTTGTAAAGGCTGACCCTGCAAGTAGAGAGAAAGAATGCCTAACATTGGCACTGCAACACACAGAACTGGTAAAACAGCAAAAAGGGAGAAAATCAGTCTTTCACAGCAAGGCTGATTTCAATGACCAGTTTTCACTGGAAATACTTCCCAAATACTTCTCTCTTTATATTATTATTTGCTGGTTTCTGTCCTTTATCACTACATCTTAGATGAATTTCCATTTTAAGAAGCTGTTTGCAGTGGCTTGAATAGTAAAATCAGCTTTGCACATCACATATTTTTGGTATTAAACACTGAAGCACCTTGTAATGCTGCCACTAAACACTGAAGTATCTACTCTGTCATGGAATCTCACTGCCTTACATCTTTGTTTTGAAGACATGCTTGTAGTTTTTTACACCAGATCCTCATAAGAACTATTTATTTTTTTTCCTAAAATTTCAGTGTGGCAAAAATGCAGAAAAATGTAATTTGCACTACAAGTTTTTCCTTTTCTTTTTTTTTTACTCCAGTAAAATTTGTCAACACTACATCTTTCCAGTCAGCCTAACTATTTCTGCAATATAGAACAAAAAATTCTAGAAATGTAAATGTCAAAACTTTTGTTGTATTTCCAGCTGTGTACAGTGCTTTAAGAAACAACACTAATGCTAAATGATTAAGATGCCAAACTTGTTTGGAAGGTAATTATCTGCTTTTGATCAAATGGAAGTGTTTTGTTTGCCATTTTGTTTTGGGTTTGTTTAATCTGAAAAGTTCCAAAAATTATTTTCACAAATCTTCCTACTCTTTAAAATAATTTTTTTCTGAAGATTGAAGGATCATAAAGAAAAATAAAAATGGTTTCTTAAAATTAGAACTAATTACTTGTTTCATGTTGACAGTAAAATGTTGGGGGAAACAATAATTTGTTTGGATAATTACACATGGTCATTTTCAAATAATCTGGTTACTGTATTGCCCTTGACTTCTGTATTCCTCTATGCATCTAGTCATCATCATATGTCCGATTTCTAGAAATAGGGAATACAATAAAATGCCATAAATAAACTCTCTTTATTCCTCTTCAAACAATAATTCAACTCATGTCCCTTCTGTGTTTTCTTTCTTGACCAATTTTCTTAATTTAGAAAATAAATTTATTAGCAAGAGTGTTTGACAAAATACAGTTTCAAGCCAGTATTGCAAAACATTCAGAGACAAAAAAGTAGTTTCATGAATCTGATTCTAAAAGACAGGTTCATCCAAACTGTGAAATGAAAAAAATATGAAGACATTTATCTGTCAAGGTAAACTTACTTGAATTAAGTATACTAACCAATTACAGACACATACTCAAACCAAAACTATAAGCTAAAAAAACAATAGAAAGAAAAAATGCAAATTGTTATTTTTAAAAAATCATCAATCTCTTAAGGGATGTAATCTCAAATCAGAAAGACACATAGTTACAATTAATTTTTTCCCTGCTTCATGAAACAAGTAAAACAGTCCAGTAACAGGAAAAGTAAATTGTGTGAATTCAGCAGTGGAAACAAACTTGAACTAAATCCTGGCCCTACCACTGAACCAAATCCTAACCACTGGGAAGTTAGGATCTAGAGACAAACTCTAAGGATAATACTTTACTCACAGACCACAGCAAAACCCTTGATAAATCAGAGGGTATCTGAGCATTATTGCACTACAGGAAAAGCAGAATGCAAATCTGGATTTGCCTAGAAGGCTTACATTTGGGTCTGTTCCAGGTGGCTACTATGAATCCTCTGTGTGAATGCAGATGTGCATTAAAGATTTTTAATTGGATTTGTACCTTTCCTATCTGTTAATTCCTTTGGAAATACATGCCTTGAGATGAATGTGCTACTGTAGGCTAGCAGCTTCCCTCTTTAGATGGCTGAAATCATCTGAGCAGAGAATGCTCTAGGAGGGTGCTGAAGTAATTAGAAAGTCTATCACTGTTATTTATTTCTTTGTTCTATGCAGAATAAAGTATGTGATTCTTTCTCATTAACGATAGTGAGATGATCAGAGGGCTGGAGCACCTCTCCTGTAAGGAAAGGCTTAGAGATTTGAGGTTGTTCAGCCTTGAGAAGAGAAGGCTTTTGGGAGACCTAACTGCAGCCTTTCAGTCCACAGAGGGCCTATAAGAAAGCTGGGGACAAATTTTTTAGCATGACCTTTGTGACAAGGAGTAATGGCTTTAAACTAAAAGTGGTTAGATTTAGACTAGGTATAAGGACAAAATTTTTTTACTACGAGGGTGGTGAAACACTGGCAAAGGTGGCCAAGAGAGGGGCTGGATGCCCCATCCCAGGAAATATGCAAGATCAAGATGGGTGGGGCTCTGAGCAACATGATCTGGTTGAAGATGTCCCTGCTCATTGCAGGGGGGTTGTACTAGATGACCTTTAAAGGTCCCTTCCAACCCAAACTATTCTGTGAATCTCACAAGGAACCTCCTCAGGCATACTTTACTCCTCCAACTGCAATCGTCTCTAATTGCAGCTTAGTACTCCAAAAAATGTCACATACCGTATTTGCCAGCACCAAGGAAATGTGCTCTAATAATTCTGAGGCAATTGAGGCCTCAGAGAGTTTATAACACATGCCACCCAGCAACACGCATGTATTTGGCTGTCAACTCTCATATGTATGCAAGAACATCCATCAGTTTTGCATGCAAGATTGTTTTAAAATGCATTGGAAGAAATGAAAATATCTATGGATTTTCAGTAAGAACAGTATTTCTCTCCTTGTATCTTGGTGGACTTTCCCTTATTTAAAGATACCAGACCTAAAGAGAGACCAAAGGCAGTACCAGTTGCTCATCTGCAAGAGCAGTATGTTTTACCCTCTGTGCATGCCTCTGGTTGCCCAGAACAATCACGTCCCATGCTAGCATATGGCTCACAGATTAGAATAAAGTTCATTGCCATAATTCATAATCTTCCTCACTTACTCACTTGCCATATTGTGAGCAAATGCAGAACTGTACCCTTTTATTATACATAAAATTAATTGTAATAAGGTATTATTTCCTTCTATGACACCTTCTTAGGGATTCTTTTCGGAAGAGAAAGGATTTAATGGCCAGCTGTCATACTGAGGTTTACTTTGTTCATTTTGTCACTCCCAAAGGAGGACAACATACCAGGGAGAAATTTAGTTTTTGAAAAGATGGTGCCTTGCTCTGAGCCCTTCTGGCAAGGGAAAATTTAACAGTCTTCAACAATAGCTGGCCTAGGATCTAAGATGACGTGAAGCGAGGTAATCCCCCAGAAGTATGTGAAAGGATGTTATCATACCAGGTGAGGAGTTGATCCAGAAACTCCATAATCTAAGGACCTGCTCTTAGAACAGACGTGTAAGAACAAGCCCACCTAATCGTATTTTATTGAAAAGCCAGTCATAGTTAAAAATAAGTGTTTTTCCTGCACAAGTCCAAAGAGCTTATGACCAGAAATAAAGCTCTTATCTTAGCAACACTGTATGAAGTTAGAGGACAAGACAAGGGCACTGCCAGTCGGAAGACAGATAGAACTGCTTTACCTCAAGTGGCTGTGGCATATCAGGCAGGTCACAAAGTCAACATGCAAAGTATAATACAACACAAGTTTATGCTAGTCAGCAATCCCACAGGATGGATTTGAGATCTATTTCCAGTGGCAAATTGTGGCAGATGCAATTTGTCCAGTAAGTATCCCCACAAAGAACAAATCTGTCTTGCTACTACTTTTGCTACTGCTAAAGCAGACAAACTGATAAAGCATTTGAGAGCTAATTGCCTCAGCAGGAAAAGCACCTTTTAGAGACTAAGAGACAACAATTAAACATCAATTTTCCAGGGAGCTACAGACTTTTCTTCCTGTGGAGGCAAAGCAGGTTAACTACAGGCTGGTTGAAGATAGTCAGAACTAAGTCCTCTGTTCACAGAACGCTGGAGGGACAGCAAGTGGCACATCTATAGGGTACTTTACAAATGGTGCAGGGCCCAGCTAGTAAGTCCTGCTAAGAGGTGGGCAGTGTTAGCTTGTTCTCAGCATCATGGTAGTGAAGTTGCCTGGTTTTCAGACATCTTGAAGAGGAAGCAGAGCTGTTCTCTTCTGATGGCAAAGACTATATGGGCAACCCTAGAGCTGCCTCCTGAACTGTACCACTTACACCAGTGCCATGGGCACATCAGATGTCCCAAAGAACCATAAAGTAATAAATATTCTTCTTCATTATAGGACTTCATGGCAGAGAGACACATCAGAGAAATGCTTTAGAGTACCACAGTATTGACTGTGGCCCTGCTTTTCTCAAGCATAACTGGGTCACCACAGTTTACCTATTGAGCACATTTTCCTACCTCTGCTTTGTGTTGCCTGGCTCTCATCTCCGAGATCATCTTCTCCTCCATAGGTTCGAATGGGGGATCGGGCATAGGAATGCTTTTGGATAAGGCTCTCCACACTTTCTCTGTAAAAGGAAACAACCTCCTGTATGAACATCATCCTAAACAGCATCCCAATTCATTTGGTTAAATACAGTACCTTTTTCCTGTCCAGATCACAGTTCTCTCACACAGACTCTCCAAATTACTTAACAAGAGACTTACCTCATAGCGTGACATTGAAAATGCTGAATTTGGCCTGTAGTTTTTTAGTATGACTGATCACCTCTTACCTGCTTATTCAGCAAAGTAGAGTGAACTTGCTACTGTGTTCCCTGGATGTGGTCTCAGACAGTAAACATAAGACCAACACTCTTCATAAATTTGAAAATGCAAACTCTGGGGTTATTTGTGCTGAGTGATTGGTCTGGGTTCAAAGAGACACCAGTGCTCCTTTCAAACAAGCTTTTGAATTGCACATGACCACTTCATCTGCTGCTCTCCCGTTTTTCTGAAATCAGGGGCAAGAGACAGCTCAATTCTAACCACGCTTTCTCATCATCAGAGTCGAGGGCAGTTCGTAGCAGGAAGTCTGCAGATACTACTGATCTCATGCCACATCTATTCTGGGATGCTGGATGTGTCTGCCAGGCCCCTGCCTCACTGTGGCACAAAGCAATGAAGTCACCCAAACCATTTTTAAATAGAAGGTAGGCATATCTACACGATAAGCCTTAGTAGTTTGTAAGGAAGATCCAACCTTACACATTCCCAGCGTATTTCCATGTAAGTAGGTGGCATTATAGCAAAGATGAATATGACCCAGGCACATTTCCAAAATGGCTTTGACCTTTTGTTCCTATTTAAGAAATCTAAGTAGCAATAGCTGCTTAAATCTGCTGTTTAATGAAGGTTTTTGTCTGACTTTACCATTTGTCCATCCATACTTGCTAATGCCCTTCGCTTGGAGAGTGTGCCTGTTGCAGAAATTCCAAGGAAAAATATTTATCAAGTAACACGATAAATCACAATGGCACATGTTTTCCTTTCCTACAGAAAGTCCATTATGGTCATTTTGTCCTTGGTCTATCACTGGCATCATTACTTACTTATGCTAGTCTCTTCAGAAAAAAAATAAATAAAAAGAGGATCTTATCAAAGTGATTTACTTGTGTCAGGATTGGAAGTGGACTGAAAGCAATGGCAGTTCCTACATAGAGGATGATATAATTGGATTACTGCCTTTTAAGTGATTGAAAACAGTAGGCATATTGGGGCTATCGCGAAGAAGATTTTACAAAGAAAAAGACAGATGGCATTGTTTACATTATGTGCTGAATGCCTCTTGAAACATAAGGCTTTTTTTCTGAAGCAGAATGTGAAACGCAAAGAATTTTACTTAACCAAAAAGACTATCTCATATGAGTACAGCATAACAGAATAATGAATTAGACCAGTGTTGTCTGAGTGATTTAGATACCAGTATATAAACCTATTCATAACCAAAGAATGACTAGTTTTTAAAAGTCTGAAAAATAAATGCAATTCAGGTGATTGTCTGTATTGTCTCTATTGATTTTATTAGTAGTAAATGTCTGCTTATACCAACAGACATTACAGCATGTAATAATATCCTGATGCAACAGAAACAACGCAGGCTCTAACTTTAGTGTAGTGGGCCAATTTCATCTCCAAACATTGGATCCTATGGTGGCTTGGGGATAAACTCACCCTAATAAATTTACATTTGAATTACCTACAGGGATTTAATGCTGAATCAAATGCCCACAATTATTGCAGACTAAATTCTTTCCAGATGGATTTGTATGCTAGACAGAGAACTCTATTATTCTACATGGTTGTCTTCTTTTTAAGAAAAAAGAGAGATGACTTCTTAGTGAACTCTGAATCTACAAAGTTTGAAAACAGGGAATTATGTGGTAGGTTTATTTATTTATTTTTTATGTTGTAGTGATGCAGGTAGTATGCTAAAGTTTTTAGAAGATTAATCTCATTCATTGGCACAAGAGGCAAAGGTTTTTATGGCAGAGGGAACAGTCTAATGTGGAAGCTTGGACGAGGGAAGGCAACTAATTTCACAAAACCGTTCCTTTTGTGCGGCTGAGAGTTAATATTCAAAACTGTATATGCTTATCTTGCCTAACCATGCTCGTTATTTATGCTATAATCACAAAACACCTACTGATTTTTCAGGTTAGAGGTTGAGACTGTGATTGACATCATGAGTGCAAAGCATTGGGATTCACACCAGAATTTAGGCACCTGGCCCCCACAGCCTTTAGGTGGACCCTGTTCTTTCCATATACAACATATGTTGCACATAAACCCCCAAACAGACCTACAAAATGCAAAAGACTGAGCACAACTAAGTGTGCAAAAGGAAACAGAAAAAACAAGAAGTGGTGAATTTTCTCCACTCATGAAGTATATCTCTAAGTTATTCCTCCAAGCACTATTTCTTCCACTTGGAAAAACAAGAGCAGAAGTCTGCACTTAGGTTTCTTTCCTTCCTTTTGTGTTTCAAAGGAAAGGGGTGGTGGCCTCTGAACCATGGTGAAATATTCCATGCTCAGAAAACACCACCCAGAGAGTAGTTAGAGGAGACGGGTTGCAACTCATCTAATCAATGGAAACATTTGGAGTTTACTCTGTAAGTTGGAAAGAGGAAGATAACCTGTTTACCCTTTAAAGACAGAGGTGTCTTAGGACTTACTCCAATGCAGATAAGTAGGAGGAAGAAAAACTTTAACAAGATTTAGGTGTCTGTGAAATCTAGTTCAAAATGCAGAAACAAAGCTGGCAGTTTGGAACACAGCTTTCTTCTTATACTTTTGTTTCCACAGGGGCCAAAAGGACTTAAATCTCAAAATCTTCCTGAAAATTCTTTTTATGGAAGAGTGAACTCTTTAGGTTAACCCAAATATGCTGCTCTGTAGACTGGATTAGTACAACACACTTTTTCAAGTCCCAAAATATTACAAGAACAGTACTACTAAGAGGGAGAGACATTATTGACTCTGGCTTTATAGTTCTATGTACAACAACTTCAGATATCTCAATGTGGTTCAAAGGATTTATGGAAATAATTTTTAGAATTACTGAATGATAAATCAATATTTGCCATGTTATGATTCTATGCTCAATTTCAAAAAATAGTAAGTGAAGAGTATGGTGGAGGTTTTTTAAAGCTTTTTTTGAGTATTTTTAAATGCTGTTTCACACTAAACTGTTTGAAGAACAAAGTGACTTCCAGTCACTCAATACCCAGCTTCTGTCCTTCTGTTTCTTTGTTCATGATCAGACAATTGTTATCTAATACTGGACTGGGACCTAACAATTTTTACCTTTTAATGTGCCTTAGAACTCCACAGTTTCTTCTATTATCAATAAATTAGCAATAAACTTTGTTCTGAGAGATCACAAGCTGCCAACCGGCTAAAGGAAAGATGTTTTCTTTTTGTAAAATTCTTTTGTGTTGTCTACCAATAATTTTCAGTCTCCCAGTCTTCACTTCAACTCATATCTTGGAAATACCCAGAGGAGGAGAAAAAGCGCACACATAGGCACAAATTTTTTTACTATGATTAAGTTTTGCAATGTTTACAACTGGATAATAGTAGCAGGTAACAGGCTGGAGAAGAGAAAGTTAGGGACTGAAGCTGTTTGAGAAAAAGAAAAAGAATCTTGCACCAAATGGAAAGGAAAAAAACTAAACTCATATTGGCAAGCACACCCACAGAGAAGATGCCGAGGCAGGACAAATGTGAGGAGAGGTAACAGGGAAAAAGAGCTCAGGCAAATCCCAATAATCTACATTCCAAAAGGAGCACACCTTGAGCACAATCATGTCAATAAACCTTACTACGAATGAAGCACTTCTCTCCTTTGTGCAAGAAATAAACCAGCAATTCTGAACCTGAAACCAAAGGATGTGAAAGGCTGAGCGAATTCATCAATTAGCAAGGGTTTAGGGTGCACAGGGAGCATCTTGCTATTCTGCAGGTTGACCTCTTGATTAAACATTTCACTCTTGTCCCTGCTGGCAAATGATTCCAAAACTTAACTTCCAGTTAGGGATGCTTTATATTGTACAGCTACAAGCTGAGTGTTTAGCCTTGTTTAGTTAATAGTGCCCTGTACATACAGAGTAGCCTCAGGGGACCAAAAATAGATAGGAAAATCCTTATGTAGCTGACAAATGACTCACTAACATTTTACAGACCAAACCCAAGATCTTGCCATGGATTTGAACTGGGAGCCAGGTTCAAGCTCCTTTGAATACAACGTGCTAAAGCCAAATTGCAGTGAGAAAGAGCAGGTGGCAGAGCTAGGCACTCTGAACTTATGTCCTTTGCATAAGTTACTGCTTCAGGAATGGCTACCAGAGGTACAAATTTCAGAGCAAAACTGAGCAGCTTCTTAGCATTCTCTCTTTTTCCCCCCTCTTTCTATCCAAGTGCTAGGTATGTAGAAAGGTAAGGATATCCTCAGAGTCTGCTCCCTGTTCCTAGTGTCATGGGGTTGCTTTTTTCTTTTGTTTTGTTTTTTAGTTTTTTCTTTATAAGGAAAGGCAATCTCAATAAAAAATAATAGCAGGAAAATAGTAAAATAATAAAACTGACAACCATGTTTTGCTTGGCCTTTCAGTCCAACAAAAAGAAAAATACAGAACAGGATATAAAGTGTATGAATTATCAGTTTGCAGCCTGAATGACTTCTTTAGTTCTGCATTTCAAAGGTTTCCTTTTTTTGTAGCTGCCAGTTAGTATGTTTGGAAGAATGCCCAGATAACAGAAGACGTCAGAAGTGAGGTGAGGTGAAGACAGATGGAATAAATGGACTGAGAAAGCACAAAAATAAACTTGTCGGAAGTCAAACTGTAGTAGAACTTCTTTTTTAAGGGAAAAGATGACTAATTTGTCCAAGGCACAAGTGCTAAAAACAAGTCTGTAAAAAAAAAAAAAAAAAAAAAAAAAACCCCCCCCCCCCAAAAAAGCCTAGAAAACCAACAACTACAAAAAAACTAACTAAACAAAAAGACCACACATCACCCCAAAAAACCTAA